CGCTGCCGGTCAACTGGCCACTCGACGTCGTTGAGCACACGCTTCGTCACCGTTCGACAAATTGTTACTCAGCTGCGACTTCGCTGTGATCGAGCTCAACAACGTATCAAACGCTGTGCTGCCTCTTGGGCCCATTCCAGAGCTGTTCAAATCGTCGATACCGAAGGTAAATACGCCATGGGCGTTCAGGTTGCAAGCAGCTTCCACATCCTAAAATTGTAGAATTTGAACAAAAATTCAGAATTAATCAACTGCTGGATCCGGTGACTCCATCAAACTATCGAACACAATTGTCACAACCTCGTTTCTATCAGCTAATGAATTGCATAATGAATTGTGGAATGAATTGCAAGGATTATTGGGCTCAGAGAAGGAAATCTGGCATTCCACAAAAAGAAACACGATGGTGAAGCTGGTCTGCGCGGTGGTTGGAGTCGGGAGCGTCTTCTCTGTGGACATTGAGCTCAGCGAGATGGTCAGTGATCTGAAGGAGAAGATCAAGGAGAAGAAGCCCGGTTTGATCTACTTTGATGCAGATCTGCTGAAGCTGTATCTCGCGCGGGAGGGTGACACTTGGCTGTACTCGCGAGGCGCAGACATTAAGGCGGTTAAGGCGAAAAAAATTCCAGATCGAATTAAAAACCTCATGCAAGAGCACTTGCTACTGGACGAGGCGTGCAGACTCAACAATGATGAATACTTCGGTGACAACCTCGAGCAAGTAGACAGAGACATCCATGTGCTGGTGGACTGTCCGGATGAGCCGGATCGAGTCATCAAGTACAAGCGTAAGTGCGTTATTCTCCCCCACAACTAATAGTGTAACATGATTTTAATGCAGCACTACTTGATGATGTCAGGACAGGATGGATTCGATGGTGCTTCTACGGAGAATTGGTTCTCATGGTACTTGCCGTGGTCTTCTCTGCAGTCGTTGTTTACTGTGGAAAAGGAGAAACACGCGTAAGAGCTACAACATTCACTGTAGCTGATTGCGTGCTGGCATCATTGATAGGGGTAATTGGGACCCGCAAACAACGCATCAAGTCAAAGATAGCACTTGCGTACAGACGTTGGGGGTATGAGTCGATTCCTTGAGTGTGTCACGGTATACGGCTGGATGAGGGACTCGACCTTCTCGCCGAATGCCTTCAGAAGCTCAACGCGTTTCAGGTGAAGCGCACCACGTCTAACCAACTGGGTCATTCGCCTGCGACGTCGGCGTTCCCGGCATAAAATGGAACACCTGTCGATGGCTGATCTCAAGACCTGCAGTGGACCGCCACGTAGGAGGATCTGTAGAGCGGTAGGGAGCTGCTCTCTCTCGTGGACGTCGAGGAGAGCAGCTCAGTCGTGTTTTTCCTCTTTACCTCACAAGTAACTGAGAAGACAAGCAATACATTCGTTTTACGTTTATTACGTTAAAAGTTCCTACGGTCGGTCTGCAAGATACACGACCCCGATCGAGGAGGAATACCGCGACAATTTGGTGGAGAAGCAGAGTATCTTCTTACCGAAAAATCGTAGGAACGTAAGAGCGGAGGAGAGCGCTACAAGACTTCAGGCAACGGAACGCCTGAACAAGAAGGAGGGGCAGTAGGTACGCTATGAGCTTCCGCGACCTGTCCGACGCGTTGGGCGAAGAAGCGCTGCCTTTTTCCGAAGTTCTAGAGGAAGAAGAAACGGCGCGTGTGGAAGGAAATGCGGGTGAGAACGCGCAAAGAGAACCTCCTATCGGAGAGAGAGAACACGTCGAAGCGGAACGCGGAGCGCGGGGTCAAGACCAACAAGCGGCTGAAGGCTACGAGGCACAGGCGGCTCAAAGTGACGATGACAATCTGTTCGACGGGGCTCTCGCATCTCCCCGAACGAGAGGGAGGATTACCTCTCTGCTTGAGACCCCCAGAGGTCGGGCTCAGTTTCAAGACCTCTTGCTGCAGCTCGCCAGCCAACCTGCTCCTAGTGAACTGACCGGCGCAGCGTCCCACCCGCGAGCAGAACCTACGGCTACTGCTCCAGGAAGTCGACGGGGCGTGGCGTTCACATTTGACCCAGCCCGCCCTTCCTTGGGACCTGTTGAAGGAGAAGGGAGGAAAGTGACGGCTGCCGCTGGTCCGCAAGGACCAGGATTGGGAAGGAACGAGGAGGAACGCTCCAGGGACGCAAGGACCGCGGCCCCAGCTAACGTCTCGACTGGAGGAGCGAGGATGGGCCCTACTCGGTCCACCGTGACATCGACTGTTGGAAGTGGAACGCGAGACACAGACTCGACCTTCCAAGCGCTCTTAATCGACTCCTTCCAACAAGCGCTCCGTGGCCTCTCGCTGAACGATGCGTCGGGAGGGTTGCGCCAAACACGAGCTCCGCCCTCGTCAATGGAAGAGCGCCGGAGCCTAGAGGCCGCGAGCCCAAGGATGACTCCGGGAACGGTAGCTGCGACTCCGACAGGGATGCCGATGGCGGCGATCCCTTCGTATGGTGGCGTTTCAATCCAAACGCCTCAGCCTGGCTGGAGCAGTCGAGGGGCAGGATCGCCTCTGCCCGGGGCGTTCTACTCTCCTTTTCAACCTCCTGTGACGCCTACGTCTGGATGGAGCGCCCATGGGACGCGACCCGCCTGGACCTCGGCACCGGTAGCCTCGGAGGCTCCAACGTCTGCTACCTGGGAGGCGGGTGGGCGACATGCCACCTCTGGCGGGGAGTTTCGCGGGCACGCTGGTACTAGAGTACCGAGCTACGACGACAGACAGAGTGGGAGGCACCCGACGAGCTCAGGACTACCTTACGAGCCGATTGCCTACTCTATCGGTGGCCAGGATGGCCGATATGGAACGGCAGCGATCAGAGACCGTTCGTATCGGAACGCCCTTAACATTGGGCATACCACCGAGTGAATAACGCCGTAAAGCACAGAGGCTTTTTGATCGTCACAGGTAACGAGCGAGAGCGTTCAAACGTTACGCGAA